AAGAAAAAGAGAAAAAAGTTTTAAGGTTTCTTTATTGGTGCTTTAGTAGGAGTTGATAAGTACACGTAAAAAAATTTTGAAATATTACTTAAGATTATTTAACTGTGTTAACAACAATGTACAGCTCATCTTACTCCACAAAAAGAAATATTAAAAAGAACTTGCTTCTCAGAGACCACAAAGTCGACTAGCGACCGCAAAAGGTTTTAATATTTTCAACGCACTTATACGACAGTGAACAGCGTCTAAAAATTAGAGGGGAAACTGCTTGTGGTTATAGAAAAAAAAAAATAAAGAAGCTCTGTTAACATGATAATGAAAATATCGATGGTTCTGTCTTCTTCGGTTTTTAATTGTCAATTAGTATTCAAAACGCACTGATTTGATCAGATACCTATTCTTTCTACTTGAAATTTACCAACCAAATAAGACTTGGACAACGTTTGCATCCTTTTCTCTTTGGTCTTGCTAAAGGTAATGCATGAGAAATTTTCCGGATGTTTTACTCTTTGTTCGTAGAAGCTGATGGATGAAAGAAAGAAAGAAGCTAGAACAAAGTTTGTTTTAAAAGTTGAACTATTATCTGTAGTTGCTGATAATCAACCATATGATTAGATATAAAGCTGAAAATAAAATTAAAATTGAAATATTAAATTGACTGGTTTATTGTGTCAGATCGAAGTCTCTAGCTTTGATGTCAAATATGCTGTTTCTAATCGCAGCTAAGTGTGAATTACATGTTTTGACTCTAAGGATTATTCAAATTTCCTGCTATCAGCTCTCTATTTTGTCTTTTTTTTTTTATTCGTTTCGTTCTGCTTGGCGAACTGGCTTCGGCCGATTTGTCTCTTTTTTTTTCCTTTTTCCTGATCGACAATTTCTGTACAACTCTCTCATAACATTTAGAAGTGTAAACGCGGAATCGCAAATTAACTTCATTGTTGATCTCAAGTTCTAATTTGCCATAAAACGGTGAATAGAACAAAGCGTTTTTAACTTTGGTTTTCTGCGCAGCGCTAAGCAGCAACAAACAATTTTAAGTTTTGATTTTTTCCTTTCTGGTTATTATCAGATATGACTTAATATCAGTGAAAGACGTTTATAGTTTGTTTCACTCATTCTCTTGTTTGCTTAGTTTGTTTATTTACTTTTGATTTGAAACAAAATAAGACGTACTAGCGGTTAGATCTTGATAGTGTAGTGAGTACTAAAGGGACTGAACAAGATTAGCAGAAGGCCTTTTTTTGCAACAATCGAAATGACAATCTTCGAAGTGGTTTATTTTAAAAACAGGGAGGAGCATTAGCTTGTAAATCTTATTACTGTGATACCTTTACGACGCCTTAGCAGTCAGCGTAAGTGCTAAAGTACAAGAGCGACAATAAAAGTTGGTATTTTTTGATTTTGGTTTGTATACTTAAACTAGTTTAGAATTCTTTTCTATAAACAACTGTCGGTGCATGCTACAAAGTTGCTTTGTTTTTATAATTTTTTCTCATGCTACTAGCAACAACTTGACAGTAGTTCATAATCGTTTCTGCTTTCCGTGTAAGAAATGCTTTGATTTTTTTCTCCCAAAAAGCATTTGAGCGGGTTTGGTACATTTCTTCTGCTCAAATCCAAGTTGTTTTGCTGAACTGAGTAATGTTTTGAGCTTAACCAAGAAATCTAGTCGTAATAGCATTGTAAAGCAAAAGAAATTAAAAAATTATTGGTATAATTTTGTTAAAAATTACCAAGTCGTTTTAAGGAGTTTTATGTAGCAAATCTCGTTTTTGTAGTTTTTTTAGCAAATTGTTTGCAGTGAAATTATAAGTAGAAATATTAGAAGGTCAGTATACACCCAATTGCCAACTTCTTAGCTAATGCTTGAAACTCTCAGATTTTGTTGGTTAATGAAATTTGGTTTTGGATTAAAAGGACACAAGAGAGTACTTAAACGAAATTAAATGCCAGTTATATTATACTTTGATAGAGTGTAGCAGTTTACCGCATTTATACCTAACTAAACCTTACAAAATTTGATTCCACTCTTTCTACAAGTGCGCAGCTAAACTGCAAACCACTGAAAAAAGTTATTTTTTTGTAGAAACCACGTTTATAGAATACTTTTTATTCTGTCAAATAGAGAAGTTTCGTAGCGGTATCCCCATAAAATCAGTAGCTGTGGCTGCTGAAATGAGTTGAGTTGCAGAAGGACGGCTACGAAAAACAATTTGTATAGAGGCAGTAAGCGAGAGAAGAGCGTCGGCGCTATACATGACCCCTTCATAAATATTTCATAGGAATTAAGTCTTAATTTTATCGTTTTGTGATTATAAATTTTAGTAAAATGTTTCTCCTTACTTCGATTTTTCTATTCTTTTCGAAACTTTTGGCTGTCTAACTGAAATCCAGAAAACCTCTCTCCTGTATCGTAGCTGTCGTCAGTAGGCAGGAGAAAAAACAGAGTATTTGAAGCGGTTGATAAGATGGCTGCTGTAGATCACTAATCTTTCTGACAGACTAGGTTCGAGGAGGTTTGTCTTAGAACTGTTTCTATTTTTTTTTTT